CTGATGCCAGGAGCCCAAGTGGAAAGCGAGTGTTTTGAGAATGATGAGGGCAGTGAATGTACAAGTGTGCTTTACACAATTGACATATGTATGGGTTGTGTAAGAGTTGCATGAGCCCCAATAAAATGATTAGAAAATAATAATAATTACACGAATAGCAATGAGTACAAGGAAGAAGAAAATGTTCTAGAATTGATTGTAGTGATGACTGTGCAACTCTTCTGGATGTAATTGGATTATTGAATTGTACAACATGTGGATGACGTACCAATACAACCGTTAAAAAGTAAAAAAAAAAATCTCTGTGTGTGCCTTCTCCTGCACTGAAGTCTTTCCAGAAAACCCAAGCCTGCTAGTCCATGAACTGGAGAACCAATTCACCGGAAAGCACAAAGCACACTGCTGCTCAGAGGAGAATTCTCCTAACCCAAATCAGAAGAGCCATACAAAGAATAAGTGCAAGTATCCGAGAGCCACACTCTGACCGCGGGACACTCTGACCACACTCGGATGCGGGGCTTGAAGACGTGGTCTCCCCGTGTGAAATTGTGGGCCAGAGAATCCACGGAGAACTCGGCGGCAGTTGGCTATTAAGGGTTCACTTGGACAAAGCACAGCAGAACAATGGAGAACACAAGGTTGATACCCTTCTGAAGCTGAAAAGAACCTCAGGGGTAGGGATTTTAATATTGAGTTCCACAAGTGTCTATTGTAAACCCCAAATCGACTGAATAAAATACTATTCACAATTAAATAAGTAAAGGAAGGTTCTTCACTTCAGATCATTAGCATTTTTATTGGGCCTTTTCAAAGAGCCACGAAGAGAATCAAACAAGTTCAAATAACTGCACAGACATTCACCGTAAATTGCTGTGCTCACTGAGAAGTGGGGTGCTAATCGTGCGAACGAATCCCACCTTGAGCCTTGGCTTCAATTAGTAAAGCAATCATGGCATGACTCTTAAGTCAACGCCCACGGAAACACTAAGCAACGCAGATCGACTGCTAGACTGGAAGCAGTGGTTGACAGCTGCTGAACTGTGTCTGGCTCTTGAGTTCAGTTAGACCACTCAGGGTGGTGCCTTCAGGGAAGCACTGACTATCTGCCAGGGTCCTGTTTGCTGGTGGCCTGGCCAGGGGGGTGGAGCCTCAGTGCCGTGGAGTTTCTCATGAACCGTCCACTCTTCTCTTTCAGATTGCTTTCCTTGGCCTGACCTCCCACGAGAGAACCAGCCTGCTGAAGCAGAGCCGGCAGATGAAGCAGCCTCTGTCCCTCAGGAGGACACCCTACAAGTACGTGAGAGCCACTCGCCGCTCAGGCCTATGGAAGATCGGAGCCTAGGGACCCACCAATGGCCACCCCTCTCTTCTCTCAATTGCCATCTGTCGTGGTTACCCACACCCCTTCTTCTGTGGAAACTTCAGTGACAGGGCTACGGGGTGGGGCAGTACCAGATAATAATACCCTGTGGTCAGGAGTCCCAAGGTGGTAAAAGTCTGGGACTTAGCCTCCCGGACTCGGTGCACATAGCAGGTGACTGAAGTTTTGCCAAAATAGAGCATCTCTGCAGTGAAGCCGCCTGGTCACAAGGTGCGTGCTGCTGGCGTGAAGCCAAGGTGAGATCATGAGTTCACTAAACACGTGGCTGAGAAAGCCAAGCACCAGACTCTAGACAGCGTCAGATCATGAGCCTTGCCAAGATCTGCGGCTTCGCTCCCCATCGCCGGGAGCTGTGGAGCCCTGTGCAAATGTGGTGGGTTTCCTCCCCAGCAACCCAGCGTGCTGGTGACATGAAGCCTGTCCTGCCTTGAAGTGAGCGCTGGGTGGGGGCCGGCGTCATCTGATTAGAACGGTCTGCTCTCTCCGAAGCATCTCTCACTGCCACGTGGAGCTCTGTGAGGGCCGCCGAGGTCACCCCAGCCCTTGAGGGATGGGGACGCTCACCGCCTGTCTCTTGAGCAGTCTATTTTAAAGCACACTCATGGTACAAGGTGAAACTGCTAGGCTGTTAGACCAGGGAGTCTGCGAGAAGGAAATGGACTTGTGGGAAGGAGGACACTACAGGGGTAGCGTGGGGAGCCCAGACCGGCAGCAGGCTGAAGTCTCCTTCTCTGGAGTTTGGTCCAGGGAATACATACTCCCTGGCAGTTAGGAAGCCCATGTGCTCGCAGTGGGATTGTCAAGTGGGTCTTGACTGACGTGAGGCAGGGCATGGTAAGATGGGAGGGAGGGCCTTCCGAGCCCCAGAGAAGAGTGGAAAGAGATGGGGCAGAGACACGGCACCCCGGCCAGAGGAACAGAGGGGCTGCTTGCCATCCTCTGTTGTCGCCAAAGTCCCTTTGACTCCCTCTCCGGCCAGACCCGTCAGCACCCAGCATGTCTCCTCTGCCGCTGTCACTGCGCTGGCTGCAGCCGCCGCTGTGCCACAGTCATCCTCGTGGGCAGGTTTGGTCGCGGATTGGGTCTGGCACTTAAAAGATCGGTTATTTGCATAAAAACGGTCCCTCGTGACTGAGATTGATAGGAGTGCTTCAAGAATGTACTGGAGGAGAAGAAAACACCAAGAATTGTTGAAGTCAGTAAGGCTCCAGAGGAAAAGTGGGCATAGAGCCTGGACCATGGGAACCAGCAGACCTTCCAGGAACTAGGCGGGATGCTGAGGTCCCGGTGGCTCCCAGGGTGCAAGAATGGCCCAAACTGTTATGAGCCTGGGAGATGAAACAGAGCCAGCGTGGCTGGAGCAAGGGGTTTGTGAGATGAGCTGGGGGGGTGGGGACGGGGGGTTGGCTGGTGCTCTACTGTGCAGTGGATTGAGTGCCAAGATGAGGGATGTGGGTGTGAGCCTGTGGGCAAAGGTGGCACAGTCAAGGGTCTGGATGAGGTAAGGGGCTGTGAGTGAAGTGTCGACAGGCTCCAGTCCTTAAGATGAATTGGGAGGCATGGAGACAGTGGTGACATTTAGAGAACTGTTTCTCGGGTTTAGGAGGGAAAATTCATCATGTTGATTGTGGCCAAAGTCTGAATTAGGACAATGGGGAGGGAAAGAAGCCGGTGACCATCCTAGTGAGTGAGGGACCAAAGATAAGATGGTGACAAAAGGCCCAATTAAATTGCTGGACTGAGGCCCAGGGATCTCAGAATAGGGGTTCGCTTTTAGAAACAAAGCCGGCTTCCGTTGTACGGCCCCTTAGTAGATGCAGGAACTGTGTCTGGCTCCTGCCAGATCTTCAAAGGATGAGTGTCGGCAGTTAACCAGACACTGGTGAATGGAACGTGTCCCTCCTTCTCTTGGCAGCCTGGGATTCACACAGAACCTCGCAGACTTCTTCCGGTGCGGCTGCTGTGGCTTGGCGAAGCCCTGCCTGGTTGACTGGACGTCGCAGTACACCATGGTCTTCCACCCAGCTAAGGAGAAGGTCCTGCGCTCCGTCTGAGCCGAGGCTCCCACGCGCCGATTTGCTTTCATTTGTAGCGACGCCTTGTGGGCGGGCGGTGAAGCGAAGGTGTCAGAATCCCCTAGACCCAAAGGAAAAGACAGGGCGTCCCACAGGCCCAGTGGAGACGAGGGAAGTTCTTGAGAAAGGCGTCACACGGTTTCAGATTTGGCGAGATGGACAATGATCATGGCACATGTCTGAAAAAAGCATACTTTTCACCAGAAAGTAAAAGTCACTCTTTGTGGAGACAATGCTCCCTAATTATGATCAAATGGAGTGTTTTCAGAAACTGCATTGGCCATCTCAAAATAGTTCTATTCTTTAAACTTGAGATTTTTGATAAATTATTTGTCTTTGTTATAGCTTTAAATATGTAAACTATATTTAAATAGACGTGTCTGTTTTGCTTTCACACATAAAATGTTTTCTTTTTTTGTAGTTGAGATTTCATTTCTGACACATGACAGTCACAGAAGCTTGAAAACAGGTACATGGGGCACAAGGAAAAGATTCGCAGTCCTGGGAGGGAGGGGAGGTCACTGTTTAACTAGTTGCCTTACTTAGGAACGAAACATAGGAAGTCTGACAATGGATTGCCATTTTTAATTTGCCCCCAACCCCCAAAACAAAAAAGCAATGCTGTTGGGTGGGTTCCCACCATAGTGACCCTCCAGGACAGAGTAGTTCCCAAGGCGGATTCTGGGCGGAAGCCGACTGCACTTTTTCCTGTGGGGAGGCTGGGGCCACAGAAGACAGAGTGGAGACATGCTTTCAAGAAAGCCTGGGGCCGTGGGCGCCTTCTCGTGGGAGTAAGGGGAATTGATTGACAGCCACGGGGCCTTTTCCCATCACGGAGCTGGAGCTGACCTACTAGGCACATTGTTGTCGTCATTCAATGTCGCTGGACGCTGTGTGCAAGAGGGTCCAAAGCGAATTTCTGGGATGGGCTGAGGTACGTTTGTGACAAGCCTGATGTGACACAAGAAGGGGAAGGAAGTGGGCCTCTTGGGACTACACGTTAGCCTCAGAATCAAGGCAGTTTGGGGAGTGAAGCAAGGAAGGATGCAATCAGGAGAGCGAGAAGCTACAAGGGGGTCCAAAGGCCACACAGACGTGTGCCCAGTCCTGTGGCTTTTTCCCATGTGTGTCTTAGGCTGGCCACCCATCGCCGGGGCCTTGTCCACGACAGCACTTCACAGCTCTGACTAAATGCTCACTTTGAAGACCGCCTCCTTGGGCCTTGGAGTGTGCAGGAAGGCACCCTTGAACCAGACGTTTCATAACTCGTCTCAATAAATTTTCACTTAGCGAAGATCATTCAGAATCGCGAGGAGTGCCGTGCGTATTAAAGCAGAGACCCAGGACGAGGCGAGCACTGGAGCCACTAAGAACTTACTGAGAAGGCAGGGGAAGGTGTTCTTAATGGGCCGCATTTCATTTGGGGGCCTTGGCAATTTGACGTTCTAGAGGTTTTAAGAAAATGGCTAGACCCCAGGAAATGGTCCCCCAATAAAGGAAAACCGTCCCACCTCGCTGACAGCACAGAAGCAAACACTGAACTCGGTTGTCACATGGGCCTTTGCAAGGAACGTGGAATATTGCAGAGCCCGTGAGGAAACCAAGGCTGACGAGTCAGCGGGTTTCTTCGTTCTGAGTTTCATTTGAGCTCTGGCTACTACAGTGTCTGTCCCCTCCTGTTGTCGTGCCCTCCCCCCCAACCCCCACCTCCCACACAGCTTTCTTCCCCATCAGCAGGAACTTGGGAGCAGCTCTGTGGACAGGTTTTGGGAGAAGACCTTCGTTCCGTAGCCTGTTGTTTCTTCCTTCTCCATCCTCCACCACTTGACATCCAAATTAATTCCTTCAAAGATAGTTTTTCTTTAACGATCTCTGTTTTGAGTGTGTGTATGTTTTTCGTTGTTGGTTTTGTTTTGTTTTGAGAAAGAGCTTTCTACTCCTATAAAGAGTTACAGTCTCAGAAACTTAGAGAGGCAGGTCTATCCTGTCTTATAAGGTCGTTATGTGCCGGCATTGACTCAATAGCAGTGTTTTGTTTTTTTAACTTTTTCTATGTTTTATACCCAAGCCATGGTATTTTCAATTACCTCATATACATGTGGAAGTTGGCCAATGAATAAGGAAGACCACTGAAGAGTACATGCGTTTGAATTAGGGTGCTAGCAAAGTATATTAAAAGTACCATCAACAAACAAATCTCTCCAACTGTCTTCACATGGGCATTGGGTCTCCACTCCATGCCCTTCCTCACTCCATTCCCATTGAGTATGATTTTGTTCTGGGTCTTAGATGCCTGATACCTGATCACAGAGGGGTCACAGGAAAGAAATGAGCCAGTCAGGGTGCAGTATAGCACCAATGAAGCATACAAGTTTCCTCTAGTTCTTTGGTGCTTCCTTCCCCCCACTATCATGACTTCAATTCTACCTTACAAATCGGATTACATCAGAACATGCACACTGCTACAGGTAAGAGCCTGAAACACAGGGAACCCAGGATAGATAAACCCCTCACGGCCAACAAGAGTAGAGATACCAAGAGGATTAGGGGAGGGTGGGGGAAGAAAGGGGAAATCAAGAACAAGGATCAACTTATAGCCCCCTCCCAGGGGGACGACTAATGGAAAAGTGGGTGTGGGGCAATGGAGGATGATGTAAGATATGAAAATAATAATCTATAACTTATCAAGGGTTCATGAAAGAGGGCAGGCAGGGGAGGGAGGGGGAAGAAATGGGGAGCTAATAATGGGCTCAAGTGGGAAGAGAACGCTTTGAAAATGATGATGGCGGCATATGTGCAAATGTGCTTGACACTGGAGGAATGTATGGATTGTGATAAGAGATGTAAGAGCCCCCAATAAAAATCCATAAGAAACAAACCTCTCTTGGAAGAAGTACAACCAGAATGCTCCTTAGAAGCAAGGGTGGTGAGACTGTGTCTCATGGGTTTAAGCATGTTGTCAGGAGAGATCAATCCTGGGAAGGATGTCATGCTTGGTCACGCAGGGGGACAGTGAACACGACAAAGACCCTCGATGAGATGGACTGGCGTCACGCTGCAACAATTGTCAGGTGGCGCAGGACTGGGCGGGGCTCCTTTTTTTGTCCGCATCGCTAGGAATCTGAACTGACTGGAGGGCAGCTAGCTACAATGCCACCGTATTTTTTGAAAATTTGAAAGAAAAGATCCAGAGATCTGGAAGGTACCACTAAAACATTTATTGCCTCTCCCACCCCACGTATCAAACAAGAAAGCATTCTGTTACAGATTAAAAGTCAAATGATTTTCTACCAACGTTAGGAAGACAGAAGAGGACATCATATCCCGCTACAGAGGAGAGGCTGTTTGGAGAAGGGTGTCGGTCAGGACGGCCTCTCTGGCAGATGCCGTAGGCTGAGAGAGACCTGGTTCACTCCTTCTTTTCCGGCTGTTGTGTAAGGCCTCCAAACCCAATGCCGGTAGGGCCAAAATTTTTGGCATAGCAAACTGAAGGAAAAAGGCATCGGGGGAGAAGAGAGAGGTGTCAGTGCCATGATCTCAGATACCTCCCTCTGGTCACGGCCCTCTCTTGTTTGTCAAAGCGAGATGCCCTTGCATGAAGTTATGCCGACATCAGCTTTTCAACACCTTTAACCGTATTCCAAACCCACCAATAGAACGCAAGTATCACCCTTCGCGCTTGACCGCGGGTGGTCTTTGAGGTGGACCAGCTTCACCTGCCATTGCTCCCTGCCTCCCTCCCAGCAGCCAGCACACAGCACTTCTCATTAGGAGCCGTGATGCCCAGGCTTTGGTATGTTGGCACCCAAGGCACCCCGCCCCCCCCCCCCAAATCTACATTCACCCTGGGGGCCCCAGAGGACGCGTCTCTTCTAAGCTGTGTGTCTTCTTTGTTCACACATGCCCGCACTGGGAAAGTTCCTTGACTAGAGCTTCCCCATTTGCACATGCAGCTGTTTATCTCCTTGCCGGCTACATAACAAGTTCAGGTGGTAGGATCTGTGTACTCGCTGTGAGCTCTGCTGCCGGGAGAAGGCAATCCCTACCTGGTGGGTAAGTGGGTTTGTTGGAATCCCTTGACCATCATGGGGAAAGCTTTGGCAACTTACAACCTGCCCCCTCCTGTCCACTCATCCCATTTTAACCCACACATGTGGAGACTTTGAGACGCCATCACCAAGGGAGTGGGTGGGCAATAGAGTGGGCGTAGGAGAGGCTCCAGGGTGCGGCCAGGCAGCGCCTGTCTGCCTTTTGGAAGTGGCAGGAAGGAGCTCACCCTCCAGGGCCTCCCCAGCAGACGAAGGGCTCATGGAGGCAGATAGGAGCAGAGGTGTGAGGACCAGGAGGAAAGCCAGTTTGTCAGCTAGATCCTCGTGATCATTACGTGATGCCCAACGCCAGAGAGAAATGAACAGGAGGGGCAGGGGGAGGCGGGAAGACAGTTCATCCGCTCTGGTCAACACCACCTGCCACTCAGGTAGATGGAAGGTCTTAGGGTTTCTGAAAATGACTGTGACGCTCTCTGAGCCCTCTTCTAGGGCCAGGCCAGGCCTGCCTTTCTGCCTCTTCCTGTAGGCCTCCTGCTTCCCTGGACCACTGAGCCTCTCCCAACAGCGGATCCTCCAGTGTGCCAAAGGAGAGGGCAGAACTGGATCCGGTGGGAGGTTTCTTTCTCATGACTGGTTTTGCCCTTCATTCTGAGAACCCAACCCAGCAGGCTTTGCAGCCATCCCTCCTGGGGGGCAACAGGCCGGTCTGTAGACACGGAGACACCTGTCCCTCCCAGGACCCTCCCCAGGAGACCATAATTTTAAGAGACTCCAGCGCCGACACTCACCTTTGCAATAAAGTTCCCCGTCTTTGTCGGTGACGTTCGTGGACTCTAAACTCTTCCCACAGATGGCACAGCGGAAACAGGTCTTGTGCCAAGGCTGTGGGGCATGGGAAAGTGGGCATGCAGTGGAGTCAGCAGCATAGTCTACTTCCATTTTAAGTTCCCTGACCAGCAGATGTAAAGGAATGCCCCTATCTTAGCCATCATCTGGTGTACTCAGCTCTCCCGGAATCATTTTCTTACAAGGGCTCTGAAGGAAATGAGACGCTCCGGAGCTGGCTCAATTCTCAGAATGCCTTCAAAATGGCTTGACCCTGGAGATTTCTACGTGTACTCCTTTAAGAGAGACTAGGAGAGGGTGTCTCCATGCCTAGACATTCCGAGGGACCAGCTCCCCAGAGGGCTTGGGTCATTGGGTAACATTTGCATTTTAGACAATGAAGTCAGTCAGTTACTAGGTTATACAACCTTGTTTGGATGGTACATTTCTGCTAGAGGGGAGGTTGGGGCTTGGGATTCATCTGGAAGATGGCTTTCCTTCCAAACCCACCGAAACAGCTTGGGAGTTCCCACGGGTCTTCCCTTGGTCACTCTCGGGGTGGAAACCGCCCTGGTATTTGAAGTCAGACACTATCCTTGGCCTTGTCTCCTGCAACTTCATCCTGAGAAGATTGTTCACTTCCCTCAAGCCCTAGCCCTCTGGCAAATCAGCCCCGCTTCAGACCTAAAGTCAGAGGCGGCCCAGCAAGCCTGCATTGCTGTCTGGGCTACTGAGGACTCTCCAGGGAGCCAGGATATGGGTCCGTGGGGAAATGCCTCATCACTGTGAGGGGTTTGGAATCAACTTCAGGTTCAATTCTGCCAGCAGGTTTAGTCATGCACTTTAGACATTCTGCAAAGACAGGGGAACGTGTCCACCTTTGGGTGGCCCAGATCTTTTGGCTCATGCCATACACCTCGGATAGTTAGTGCCTGTGACATGGATCCCAGGGGTCCTAGCTTTCCCGGGTGCAGCAAGACGACGCCACAGACTAGAAAAATGGGAAGGGGTGTGTTTTCTAAAGGAACCACCAGGATTATAAGGAGAACGAGGAGTCTGGGCCCCGCTGGCCCACAGTTCTGACCCTCTTGTCTCAGTGCCACTGACCAATGCTGTGAAGATGAGCGAGTCTCCGCTGCCTCGTGTCCAAGTCCTTACCTTGCCACCTCCCATGACCTTCTCAGCCGCGTAGACTGACTTCCCACATCGAGGGCACTTCTCTGACTCCCCAAACTTTGCTGTGAACTTGGAAGGGTTGCTGCTGGTAGCTGAGCGTGCCGCTTTGGGGGACCTGATGGAAAGAGACAGGTGAACAGGTGTACACACCTCCTTTGCCAAAGAGAACTCATTATGTGACTGTAAGGGAGCTACTTAAATATTTTGTGCCTCAGGGTCTTCCTGTGAAAGGGGGGAATAATCACAGTGCTACATTGTAGAGAGGATTGAATGAGGTGCCAGAGGTCCGAACGAGACCGGCACCTGCTGGTAGGTTGTCGTTGTGAGATGCCCTTGTCCGTACGGAGAATGAAGCGCCCCCAGCCTGCGCCTCCTCACCGATGTTGGGGCCCATTGTTGCAGTCCCTGTCTAGCATCTTGGTGAGGGACTTCCTCTTTGTGCTGCCCCTCCACTTTCCCGAGCATGACGTCCTTCTCCAGGGGCTGATCTCGCCTGAGGACGTGTCCAAAGTCTATGAGAGACATCTCGCCATCCTTGCCTTGAAGGAGCAGCCTGGCTCCTTCTTCCAGGACTGGTGTGTTTGTTCTTTCCGTATTCTTTGTCAGCACCACAATTCAAATATCTTGATTCTTCTTTGGTCTTCCTTATTCAGTGCCGAACTTTCACAAGCATAGGAGGCAATGGAAAAAACTGGTTTGGGTCAGGCGCACCTCAGTCTTTAAAGAAATAGCCTTGCTCTTCAGCACTCTGAAGAGGTCTTGTACAAACGATTGACCCAGTTCAGTGTGTCTGTTGATCTCTTGACTACTGCTCCCATGAGCACCGATTGTGGACCTATCAAAATCCTTGTCAACCTCAATCTTTTCTGTTTATCATGATGTTCCCTATTGGTCCAGTTCTGAGGATTTTTGTTTTCTTTCATTGAGTTGTAATCCATATCGAAGTAATGCACATGAAAGGCTGAAATCCCTGATCTTCACCCATCAAGCAGGTGCTTCAGGTCTTCCTCACTTCCCGCCAGCAAAATTGTGGCGTGTGCAAATCACAGGTTGCTAATAAGCCTTCTTCCAATCCTGATGCCCTATTTGTCTTCATAGAATCCAACTTCTCTGATGATTTTTCCAGAATACAGATTGAATAAGTATGGGGAAAGGATACAATTCTGATGTACATCTCTTCTGATTTTAAGCCATGCTATATTCCCTTGTCCTGTTTGCACAACTGCCTCTTGATCCTTGTGCTGGTTCCACGTGATCACAATGAATGGCTCTGGGATTCCTGTTCTTCTGAGGAATCGCCATTGTTTGCTGTGATCCACACAGTCTAATGCTTTTGCATCACCAATGAAACACAAGTAGACATCTTTTAATGTTCTCTGCTTTCAACCAAAATCCATCTGATGTCAGCAATGATAGTCCTTATTTCGCATCCTCTTCTGAATCTGGCCTGAGCTTCTGGCAGCCCCCTGGCATATCACGCTGTAACCATTGATGGATGATCTTCAGTAAAATTCTACTTGCAAGTGACAACAATGATATTGTTTTATGATCTGTGCGTTCTGTTGGGTCACCTTTCTTTGGAAGAGGTATAAATACGTGTCTCTTCTAGTTAGTGGACCAAGTAGTTGTCTTCCAAATTTTATGACATAGACCAGTGAGTCATCCCAGTGCTTAATCAGCTTTTCAAAATATTTCAATTAGTCTTCCATCAATTCCTGGAGCCTTGTTTTAAGCCAATGCTTTCAGGGCAGCTTGGACTTCTTTATTCAGTACCACTGGTTCTTGCTCATATGCTAGCTTGGCCTAGCTCTACCTTTCCTGTTGTAAAGCACTCACAAGGGCCCCATGTATGATGGCGGACATTGCTGTCATGCCGTGGGGCTGTGATCATTGGGCTAGGTTTTCCCATACTATCCTCAAACCACCGGGCTTTTCTTTCTGAAATGAGTTCTGAAAAAAATGATTTCATCGGGCAAGAATGGCTTGTGAATGGGCTCTTGACAGTTGGTACATCGGCACCGGTCACACCACAGTCCACTGAGCCAAGGCACTCCCTGTCACAGTTAAGGTTGTTACCCTGTACACAAAGGTCACTTGCTTCCATGAGAACAATGACCCAACTAGAGACAACAATGAACCCTGTCGCGTCCATGAATTAGGGCACTTCCTTGAATATCCATGACTCTATAAAGTAGGTGGGGCTGGCTGGAGGAAAGTGGATCAGAGAGGTCCTTGCCCCAGGTCGCACAGCCCATAACTGGTGGGCATCTCTGGTGTACAGACTCTTGCTGTTCTTTTCAGAGCACCACAAGCAAGCCTCTAAAGAGGAAATTTGCACCGAGCTCGGAGTGATGGGAGGCAGAGAAAGCCCTCAGGACCATCTTTCGTTCATTTCATGGTTCTGCAGTTGCCCAGGCTCCACCAGGAGGCAGGCGGTCAGTGGGGCAAACAGTTAGTACTCAGCTCCTCGCCAAAAGATTGGTCATTATAATCCATCCAGAGGCGGCTCTTCAGAAAGGCCTGGTGGTCTCCTTCAGGACGGTCATAGTCATTGAAAGCCTATGGACGCAGTTCTTGGCTGACACCCAGAGGACCCATGTGGGTCAGAATGGATTCCCTGGCCCTAGTTTTGGAGGGGGGAGGACCAGGGGTAAATGTAGGATCAGACGCTCCCTTTACTCTCTGGGGAGGTGCTTCGTGGGACATTCTCTGGCCTTTCTGGCCTTGCCCACCAGAGAAGTGCTGCTTTCAGTGACCAGCGAGCAGCTGCAGGCCAAGTTGTCTTCAGGTCTGGGCTGGGGGTTGGCGAGATCATCAAGGCAGTGAGCTTGGGGCCTGGTGGGTGAGGGTGACACAGGGCGGTTTCCCAGCTCCCCGGAATCATGTTGGGGCAGGACCTCAGCCCAGTCAAGTGGGTCTTGGGGGATTGCTCCCTTCTGAAATGCAGCTCTTCCACTCAGACCCACCCATCCTGCCCGGCCCCGTCATTCACCCCACAGCCCAAGGGAGGAACTCTTTCTGGGCCAAGTGCACAGACTCCCCGTTGCTCCCCTGCCATATAGATGTGATTTACACAGAAACTCACACAGGGCCATCAAAAGGAGGCTTCATGCAGAGTTGCAAAGGTCACACAATGGCACATGGCTACATTGTGGGTTTTCTCTCGACATGCAAACTAAGAGCCCCGGTGTACGAGTAATTGCCCTTCAGAAAAGGCGGCTCACTTAAAGAGGGCCTTCGCAGAGCTGATGCATTGTTAAGACTTGGTCAGATTGAGTATTCCTATTGTTGGCAAGTCAGCAATGAGTCCATTCTCCCACTTCCAGAACGCATTGCTATGGGAACGGAATGACCTGTCTGGGTCACTGCCAACTCTTCACCGGGAGGAAGGAAGTGGGGCAGTAACTCACTCTTGGAAGTGGAGGCCAAGATGCTCGCCCGTGTCGGTGCTCAGGCAGCCTGCGCCTTGTCCGAATCCGATCCCTTTGGGCCCGTACCTACGCCCGTAGCAGACCTTGCAGTAGATCTCCGACTCGTGAGCGGCAACTGTGGTGCTGTCCAGAGCCTTCCTGCAGGCCACTGCCGAGAAAAGAAGGGTCAGACGCTTGGGGTCAAGATGTTCCCTCCTCCCCTGCCTACCCAATGCCAGGCTGGGGGCCAAGAGTCCCAAGGCCAGGGACCTTCCAGAACAGCTTCCGTTCCTGACTAGAGGTGAGAAGGCAGGAGCACAGATGGGAAGGGGAGTCACGTCCTCAGGGGTACCCAGCGAGAAAGGGATGGGACCCCAAAGCAGAATCAGGTGAGGGATCTCCATGGTTGGGACAGCCTGAGGCTGTGTGTGTGTGTGTGTGTGTGTGTGTGTGTGTGTGTGTTGGGGAGGGGTCTGCCGGTGGAGAGAAAGTCTTCTCTACACCACTCCCAGGGTTTGAGTCTTCCCAATAGTCCCCAAACCCACTCTTTGAAAAGAGCATTTCTCGTGTTCTAACAAAAGCTGGAGAGGATTATGAAATGAACTCTCTTGAGCAATGAAGTCTGCATGATTGTAATAATAAAGACCAATGTAAGATGGCTCAAAAAAAAAAATAATTCCCCATCATTGACACCCAAAGCACCAGTAAATCCGCCAGCACGCTCACTCCGAGCAGCGTTTCCGCCCCTGTCCTTCCCTGACAATTATGATTTCTGTGGGAAGGAGGGGAAAATGGAAGCTCCTTAAGCTTATAAAATGTTTCTATTTCTGGCAGCTTAAGGATGGAGGCTCTCCAGACTCCCAGCAGATGGCGCCAAGCCCTTGAAGTGCTGCTTGGGACAGCTTGGAGGTGTGAGTACCAACCAGCCACCCAGGCCCCAGTGGAGTTGGTGGCTAGGGGTTCTGTAGGGAGGGAGCCTGCTAGATATCAGGCCAAGCTAGCTTTTAAGCTAGACTTACTGGGGGTGCGTGGAAGTGGGAAGCAACCATTTAAAAGCCATGGCCAATTCTGCCCCCAACAGCACGAATACTGGACCAAACCAGTTGCCATCAAGTTAATTCTGACTTGTAGTGCACCCCATGTGTGTCAAGCCAGGACCAGACTCCATGGCTTTTCATGGGTTGACTTTTCAGAATAGATCACTGGACAGTTCTGAGGCAGCTCCAGGTGAACTTGACCTTTCGATGGGCAGCTGAGACATTAACCGTTTGCCACACCCAAGCTCACTGCCACTGTGTTGATTCTAACACAGCTGCTGTGGGACAGAGTAGAACTACTCCTTGGAATTTCCAAGTCGGCGCCTCTTTCCTGGAGGAGCTAGCCTCATCTTTCAGCCCACAGGGCAACTGATGGGTCTGAACCACCAATGTCTCTGTTAGCAGCCAGGTGCTTCACTCACTGTATCACCAAGACCCCTTTGCAACCTATCAAAACCAAACTCACTGCCACATAGTCGATTCTGACTCCTTGTGACCCTGTAGGACAGAGGAGAACTTCCCCTTTGGGCCCTGAGACTGTACATTTCTCAGGGGCAGGCAGCCTCGTCTTTCTCCCATGCAGCTGTTGGTGAGTTGGAACCACTGATGCTGTGCTTAGCAGGACAATGCATAACCCATCCAGGGAGCCCCAAACAGGACTCTTTTTGAGCCAAACTCACTGTCATCACATCACTCTGACTCAGCCATCCGACAGGACAGGGTGCGACTTCTCCCGTGGGCTTCTGAGACTAGAACTCTTGACAGCACCAGGAAGCCTCATCTCTCCTCCCGAGGAGCAAGGTTTTGGACTGCTGACCTTGCGATTAGCTGCCCAATTTGTAACCACTACACCACCAGGGCTCCCACAGAACTGGGACACTTTGTAGATTGCAGTAGGATCAAAAGAGCACTGAAATGGAAGGTTGAGGATACCAGTTCTACTCCTGGCTCTGCACCAGAGGCATGGGCACTGAGTTCAAGATGAGAAGCGGCTTGTCCAAAGTCATCTGCTTTGAGACAGAGCCAGATTTTCAGATGGTCCCCAAGATCTTACATGCTCTCCTCTAAAACTCTCATTACCATTGAGTTCATGCCAACTCAAAACTACAGGGTAGAACTGCCCTGTGGTTTTCTGAGACTCTAACTCTTTATGGGAATAAAAAGTCTCATTTTTCTCCCATTGAGCAGCTGGTGGTTTTGAACTGTCGACCTTGTGGTTATCAACCCAACACAAAACCACTATACTATCTGGGTTCCAGCATTTTATGAATTTTACTATGACCAAGAGGCAACGGTAAAAATGTCCCTCGTCGAGTTTGGTGCACACGCCCTGAAACGTCCTTTTCTGCCTCTTACAGGATGGGCACAGTTGTTCCCCAGCCCCAGGCTCCGGTTGACACAGGTTTTTTCTTAGGAAGGGGCCATCACAGCCAGCTCTAATGACAGCCGGCCAGAGAACCAAATCCATGTTGGCTCCATGTAAGCGCTGGCTTCCCTTCTCTGCCAAGTCACACATTGTAAATGTCACCACTGGGTCAAGGTTTTCAGCACAGAGAGCCATGGCAGGGCAGCTTGTTCTGATGTTGACCTGCAGCGACAGGGCCTCTGAGCTGGGCAAGTGGGTGGAGAAAGGCACTCTGGGAGTCAGCCCTTCTGAAGGGGGCCCCGAAAGGTGTATTGCAAACAATTCCCAGGTGATGCTGAAACTGCGGGTTTGGGGCCCTCAGTTAAATGTATAAGCTTAGAAGTCCCCTGGCCCTGACCCCAGTGCCCTCACCACAATGTTCCCTCTACTCACTGCAGTGGAAGCAGGTCTTATGGAAGCTCCTCCCATTGCACTGGATTTCTTCCGCGTGGTAGACAGTCTTTTCACAGGCTCCACATTTGGCTCCTCCTCCCCAGTTTGGCATCTTGAAGGCTCTCTTGTCAAGGTGAGACCTGACAGAGACAAAGCAAATTCTCTAAGTGCCCAGGAGTGGACCGCCCCTTGGGTGCCGTGGGAAGGCAGCCCATCTTCATGTCTGAAGACCAGGATCCAGACCCCAGCTTGCTTGCTGGTTCATCCATCCATCTGGTAGATTGTTCCTGGGCGCAGGTTATGAGCTTCCATCCAGCCACCTACTCAGATGGCTTTGAGCAAGTCACTTTACCACCTTGGGACTCTTGTTCTCTCCTTTGGAAAGTTTCAATAGCACCTGCCCCTTTGGGCCGCATTGGGTTCTTGGAAGGCATGAATAAGCAGGCTACCTTCGTGTACATCAAATTATGCATGAACACTAAGTATTATTAGTGGTTCCATCTAGGGTCTTCAAAAGTGCCCATTGACGGTGGGAATAACCTAGACAGCCCTCTGATCTAAGTACTTCTCAAACCACCTGAGATCTTATTAGAATGCAGGGTCTGGTTTGGTTGCTATTGGGGAGGGTAGAATCTTCCCTTCTCTAAGAGGCTCAGCAAATACAGAGGCTGTGGTAGCAAGACACGAACTTGCATCGGCTGATAGAAACATGTAACATCTAAAACCACCGATTCGGATTCACTCCTCTATTTCATTAAGTCCTTTTAAGATAATAATGATCCTGGCAGTAAGATACATGGGATCTACGCTGTTGTTACTGTTACAGGCCTGTCGACTAGGTTCCAACTCAAAGTGAGCTAGTGGCCTTCAAGTCAATTCCAACCCACTCACAGAAAACCCTCCTGTGTCCGAATACAGGTGCTTCAAAATGATTCGGGGTTTGATTTTGTGGATGTTAATTGCCACGCCTTTCTTCCAAGGTGATTCTGGGTGGGCTGGAGCCTCCAAGGCTGTGAATCAAGTCCCCACGCGTTCATTCATTTACCATGCATTTATAACTAGCTGCTAACTGCATCACCCAGGGACACCCAGACTATCTTCCACTCTCATCACATGCCCCTAAATGACTAAGATACCTCATGTAATGCGTAATTTATCTTTTTAACTAGCTGTCATCAGGGCATCGGGATGAACAATACAGCTTCTGCTTACATGTATTTCCCCAGCGAGAAATGGGAGGCCTTACTGCTGCTTGGGGGACAGAATAGCATGATGTGCAGGAAGGTGGCTGGCCTAGCTCACAGGGCTTGGCAGGAACCAAGTAGCACCTCGCCCTTGGAGCCCTTTCTTTCCCTGTAAAGTGCTGCTGATAGTCACAGCCCTGGTTGTCCGGTGTTCTTGCTAGAGGATTATGTGGGAGAGGCACCAGCCGAGGAGGGGAGTTAAAAGAATGGTCAGCTTCTTCTTCTTCTTCTTCTTCTTCTTCTTCTTTTGTTTAGACAGAAAGAGCCAGTTTATTGAAAGAGGATACTTTGGAAGAGAAATCCTGATTTTTCTCTTTCTCTCTCTCTTTCTTTCTTTCTAGTTTTTAAAGTCTGAATCCAAGCTTTCCATTTCCCCTGGGCAGAAGTGAAATAAGCCAGCAACAGTCAAAAATTTCTGAAACCCTGCCGGCCCTAAGGGGGCTGAATCGTCCCCACCCCCTGCCCCCAACCTGTTTGGGGTTTCCTAACTTCTGGCTTTTAAGAATGCTGGTGTGTGGTTTTGTCATTGATGCCAAGCATGGTCAGAGCCTAGGGAGAGGCTGCTGCTGACCTCTATCTTCTCCTTCTGGGAAGCCAGTCACCTTCTTATAATAGTTGGTGATTAATACTAAGCCCTCCTGGGCTGACTGGTCCAGATTGTGTCTCAGAGCCTCATAACAAAGACAGTTTTACTAAGAAACAGAAGGTAAATAGCAAACAGATCACTGAACCTGATACTAGGGCTGAAGGGAGCATTCCTATCTAAATGCCCCCTAAAGAGCTTCTCCTGATGAGAGAAACAGTGCGCGGCTCGCCAGGAACACCCCGTCATCCCCTCACAGCAGCAGGCTGCTCTCTGTTTTTTCTCAATTCAATAAAATAATAAAAAAAAACAAACTATATAAAAAAGAGAGGAACCTTTCATCTCCCTATTTCTCCAGCTCAGATGGTTAAATATAGTGGAGAGAAGAAAAGGTTGTTACCTGAACTGTTGTGAATCAAGTCCCCTTTCATTCATTCATTCATTCATTCATTCACCATGCATTTATTACCTACCTATTGTGTGTTTTTTGCTTGACTACTAACCTAAAGGTTGTTGGTTCAAAGCTACCCAGAAACCCTACTGAAGAAGAGCCTGGTGACCTGCTTTTATTGAGATCACAGCCGAGAGAGCCCTGTGCAGCTGCTCTGCTCGGTCACACGGGCCCCCATGAGTCGGACAGGAGGCGATGACAGCGGATCTAATTCCTTTTTGTTCTCTTATCATGTGTCACGCACTGCACTAGCTACTCTGTCCAGGATCAAAGAGAAGAAAAATCAGAGAACCTCATCCATGGCCCCTGCATTGTAAGCAGCTTGCATCGTAAAGACAATGCAGAAAAGGACCAAAAGACGGGACCTGCTCCGCACAAGAGTCCTGAGAGAAGGACGATGGCCAGCTCGTTTGGACCTAGGTTGAAGGGTCACAAAGAGACTGCATCCAAACAGGGCTTTCCAGTAGGAAATTTCCAGATAGACAGAGAGAGGGGGGGAGGAGGCAGGATGAGTACACGGAAAGACATGAGGACCTTTATATCCCCGAAAAGAGCCCAGATGGTTGGTTCTGGACTCCAGTTAAATTATCTTCTTTGGGGTCTGGAGTAGACGTTCATGAATGATCAGCTTCCTCATCTATTGATGTGGTGAGAGGTTAAAAGTACAGATTTGAAAGTGTTTTCTAAGCTCATTTCTTTTTCTAAGACCCCTCCTTCTCCGACGAACAGTGACCCAGGCTCTGGAAAAGAGTGGAATCCGGTGATTTTGCTCTATTCATTTTGATCTTGAGCTTCAACATGATGTAAAAGAGAGAAGAAGGTAATATGTTTCATCCAGGAACAGGACAGTGACACTTGTGAAATTAATGATGCGGAAACTTTCAATGGAAACAACCCTGGGTCAAATTTCTCATTTTAAATCTTCAGTGGAAATTTCATTGGCATGTACTGCAAGTTAATAGCAGACATAGATATTCTTCTCAGGGAAGGAATACATATAAACCCACACATAGACACATAGACATATGTGTGTATATATGTGATCATATGTACACACACATAGATATTCATACACATATGTATTCTTTCCTAGCAATTGCCTAGATGTGATCCTTTTCAAAACAAGCATAAGATTGCAGATAATATCTTCTTCACGGTTGTTTTTAAGTGATCATAAATACCTGACATGCATCTATCAGGACTCGACGCTCAAAATAGACCTCTTTAAATGTTCTCCTAAGCAGGTGCTTGGTTCCATTTCTGAAGACTGGCGTGTAGCTATGGAGCTAAGCACAGAAGATGCATTTGATTTCTTCTTCCATGCTCTTTGGCCCAAAGCTGGAAGGTGTCCAGAAAAGTCCTGAATCCAGAGACTTGAGCTCTAATCCTGCTTTGCCATTTATTTCTGCGTGACCTTGAACTTGGGTGGAAATGGCTGTTATGGTATGCCAGGCACATTCTTCAGTGGGCTGTTGTGAAGATGGTGAAAATATGATGGAATATAAAGTAGGACTGAGAAGCTGGTCAAAGGAAAGGCATTCTTACACATTTTATTTTAGGTGTTCAAACAGCCCAGCCTGCTAATTGAGTCACTATGATTTAGAGCCACATTTAGGGTCTGGCTTACACACAGCATGACCTTCTTGGCCTCCCACAGTGCTGTGGCATTCCTGTGTCTCAACACTCTCCTAGCCAGTCCCCAAATGTGAGTCTGCCCTGGCCAGGGCACAAAGGGATGGACCATTTGTTTATCACTGTTGCCTGGCACAGGCAGGGTCGTTGAAGGTGGGACACCAAATATAGGCTGGCCCGTCACTCAGCCCATTTGTCACTTGGGTCACAGTCTCCATTATGCCACCTGGCACTACTCTCTAGGTTGGCCCCTGCAAGGGTTGTGTTGTCACAGATGGGGTTATAGTCAGGATCAAAATAGACACAAACTGGATTTCTGAGGATGAAAGAGCATTTGAGAGGCCCC